CTATGACCCTCACATAAATACAAAATTAGTATAGAAGATGCCTTGAACTTTTATAGTTGCTTTAGGCTCGTTAATTGAATAATTATCATGGCAACGGGTACGGTTCCCGTGATGTACTTTGTGATGCTTAATTTCTAAAAATCCGGGGGTACATTTATGTGACCTGACCCCAATTTAATCTTGTTAATAAATTAAACATATTGTAGATCGTGGGTACGACTCCCGTGTCACGATTCGCAATGTGTACCAACAAACAAGTGTACGACAATCATAACTTGTTCCTAAATAATTCCATAAATAATATAAAAGCGGTTAAAAGGTTAAAAATGCACAATAGGTATAAAACATGTCATTAATCAGATAATTAGGCAAATTGATAATAGTTGAGTGACTGTGCTAAAACCACGGAACCCGGGAATGTCTAACACTTTTTCCAGGGTTAATAGAATTCCTTACCCGGATGTCTGTGTTCGCAGACCATAAATAAGAGTCAAACTTCCTCGATTCGGGATTTTAAATCGGTGACTTGGGACACCATAAATTATCCCAAGTGGCGACTCTAAATTTGAATATATATAATCCCATTTCGATTTATGTCACTTAAATTGGAAAAACTCCTTATATCCCCTCGGGTGTAAAAAGGAGGTGTGACATCAATGTCATGACTAGGATCAATTTGTCTGTAGAACATGCCATCAGTATATTCTTGAACAACCTTAAACCTAAGCTTAGTAGTGCAGTGAAGGTTGGTCATCCTTGTACCCTCCTAAAGTAAAGTCATCAGGGGAATAGCAGGAAACAATAGTAGAAACATGTTTAGGAATTATGCAGGAAACTTTAGGAAACATGTAGTTGCTAAAATGGATAGCAGTAGAATAAAGAGGTTGACTCAAGCTGAGATGGATGAGAAGAGGTCTACGGGCTTATGCTTCTTATGTGATGAGAAGTATGTCATGGGGCATAAGTGCAAACCAAAGAGACAATTGTTCTTATTGGAGCTTGAAATTAAGGAGGATTGGGGGGGGGGGACAAGAA